AAAAAAAAAAGTAACTTAGAGTACAATCAAATATACAAAGGAAAACCACACAAGTACAGATTTCATCATACTCCTCCAGATTTTAAATAGATCAACATATTTTGGAGATGGGTGTGATTTTATGCGAGCTGTGCCCCTTTAAAATTGGCAACTACATTTAATTCAGTGCTGCCTTATTCCAAGTTCCAAACTCCAGTTGAAAATAGATCTCACAATGGAATCCTACAGCTGAATATACTCTGGGAGAAAATTAATACTTTAATTTATTCCAAATTCATTTGCATGACAGTATATCATTAGTATATACAAAAAAAATGTATTATACCAACAGAGGAAAAATTCTGTGCAAACAGTGAAAGAAACTCGCATCCCACCAGTGAGATGAGCTTGAAACTTGAAGCAATAAAGCTGTTTTATTTCTCTGAGAAACAAACCCATTAAAAAAATACCAAAAAGAGCTGTCAATAGTCTACATTGTCATTTTTAAAAATACCATGTGACTTAAAAAAAAACATTAAGCAAATATGATTTCTTTCATGACAGGTATCTCCTAAATAGCTGAAAAGAGCCACATGGACAATCAAGTGCAGACTAAAAATAACACAGTTCATCCACAAAGCAGGTTTTCCTACCTCACTGATTAACCAGTTGAAGAGGAAAGAAAACACACATTCACTTTGTAACTCCATCAACCTTGTTGTCCTGGAAACAATTCTACAAGAGAAGTACTTAACTGCCAAAACATCTTCTGCTACTACTTTTGGGTTTTTTTTCTTCCCCTACTTCCCTCTCTGCAGTGCTCTCAATGTTTGATAAGCAGCCAGCACCAACCCTAACCCATCAAATGGCACAGAAATGGGATCTCCTGCTCTTAAAAGGAAATACAGAATTCCATTTGAGTATGCAGCACTTGAGGAGCACCAGGTTTGCACAAAGGCTATGGAATGGACTGGGTCATTCTGTTGTTGTTAAGATATCCTATTAACTGAACCTTTCATTTTAGGAAATGGCCTCAAGTTGTGCCAGGGGAGGTTAACATTAGACATTATAAAGAATTTGCTCATGGAAAGAGTGGTCAAGCACTGGAACAGGCTGCCCAAGGCAGTGGTGGAGGCACTATCCCTGTAAGTGTTAAAAAGGAAAAAAATGGATATAGCAATTGAAGGCACTGTGTGATGGTGAACATCATGGTGCTGGTAAGCTGATGGTTGAATTTAAGTGACCTTAAAGGTCTTTTCCAACCCAAAATTTCCATTATTCCATATAAACCAGGAAACCTACAGGGTGAACTCAGCCTTCCTTATTCACGTGCCCAAGCACGTGGGGTGAGAGTCCTGTCTCTGCCACTCTGCGGGAGTGCAACAAGGCCATAAAGCACAAAAAATTACCTTATTTTGATTTTATGGTTACTGTCTGTATTTAGAAGGGAACAGGTCTTGGCAATTTCTGCCACACTGCTGGCCACAAATTCAAAGAACACTTCCATGTCCCAGCACTGGAAACATCTGTGCCCTCCCTTTCTTGGTTTAGAATCCTTTTTTGAAACAGGTCTGTGCTTTTACCAGAAGAGAAAACTTAATTTTAACCTCTGTAGAAAATAAAAACTAAGTCTAGAAACCAGATTTATATAGGAAACAACAGGTTTGTTTCACACCACAGCTTTACCCTCCACATCTCTGCATACATTGTTCTTTTTGCTAGGCAGCGTGTTTGGGTCAGATGCAGCAATTTGGCCTTACCTAAATTGTCCAATCCACTGCAAAAAATATATATATACTTACTTAAACACTTGTAAATTCCTAATTTCTAAACTACCAGTGTTTTAAAAAATTTGGCATCCAAGCTTCTCAGCCAGCCTGCCCACACACACTGCCCACACACACTGCCCACACCTGTTTTTCCAGCAAAATGCCAGAGTCTGCACTGGTCTGAGATAGGAAAAATCACAATTCACTGTTTTCAAATGAAACCTGTTAATTACCAAAATTATTCCCACAGCAAGTCCAAAGGGATTTTGGTTCCTTCAGAAAATCCATGATTAAACATAGCTCTACTCAGCAGTTTTATTTAGTGTGGTATTTCTGATTTACTATCTCACTCTGCTAAGGAGACTTGCGTTTTCCCCTGACTTCCTTCAATTCACAATGTATTCACAAGGTTTTTTCAAGTTCCTTAGCAATGCTGGCTATCCACCTTTCTGTACCTTAGATTTTCAAATAAACCCAATCTAATTGTTACCCAGAGAACCTGTGGCTGCCTCAGCTCTGGAAGTGTCCAAGGCCAGGTTGGATGGGGCTTGGAGCAACCTGGGGTAGTGGAAGGTGTCCCTGCCCATGGAAGGAGAGTGGATCAAGATGGTCTTTAAGGTCTTTCCCAACCCAAATTCTGTGCTTCTAATACATTTGTTAAATTGATTTTAAAGTGTATCCTTGTATCTGCTTTTCCAATGACTTATCTTTAATATATCAGTGTGAGTCACAGCTTTGTCTTCCCTTTTCTCTTGTGATTTTATTGCAGACATTGTAAACCTTCTGTGTATCCTCTGTATTTATTTTAAGTATCTTCTGGAGAGATCACAGAATCATTAATGGATTGGGTTGGAATGGACCTCCAAGATCCTCTATTTCTTACCTCTGCCATGGGGAGGGATATTTTCCACTAGACCAGGACCTTCCCCTAGACCAGGTCTTATGTTTAGCTTGCAAAATGAGCTGAAATCCCAATTAATCAGGATCTGGAGTCACTACCAATAAACAACCACCGCTAAGAGATCCAAAATTTCAACCTCACAGTCTTGAGCTGCCTCTGCAAAATGCCACAGTTAGGGATTAAAATTTCTCATCTCCTCCACTACAAACCCAGTTGCCTCAGCAGCATTTTACTGCACAGGCTCAATAAACATTCCAGATTCATCAAGCAGGCAGTGAACATCCACAGAAATCTGTCTTAACACGTCAAAGATCCAGGGATTTTCAGCATCCCATCCCTCGTACCATGCACGAGAAAACTCAATAGCAGAGACAGAGAGGAGGGAGGTATTTGGAAACTTGGTACATTCGAGCAAATTTAAGATTATGAAAATTGTGGTGCCTTACAGTAGCAGCGCTGTTACACGCGTTACAAACACTGAATTTTGTCAAACTATTTCCAGTAAATGCATTTTTTCCCCACCTCAGCACTAGAAATTCCCAATGCATAGTATAAATCGTTATATTCTGCTCTTTCTAGCTCAAATGAGGACCAGGTTTTACCAGCCAGTTTTTAGGAGTGTTTAGACCCTCCCTCTCTGGTACAGAAGCACACTGATGTCAGGCTGGGAAACGCATATCTTATACTGATTTTTTCCTTCTTATTTCAGGCAAAAAATTCCAAACCATAGCAAAGCTTTTGCCTTC